AAACTGAGAGGCAGAAACAGAATAAGTTAAAGGGAGCAACGAGTAATCATTCAGAGATCACTGACCCTCTGCTGTCCAGTCTCAAGGGAAGACATGATTAAAAAGCAGCCAGGGGATAGAGAGTGAAGGGAAGCTCCCATTATAGATGAGATCTTACCGAAATATCTTACTATTGCAGCACCCTGCTGGTTGGTTTCCATGCCACAAGTCTTTCTCTCTCTACTCGAGTCCATCCTACACTCAGCTGTCAGTGATTTCCTAAAATAGAGGCCTGACATACCATGCTCCCATTCAGTAAACTCCAGTGGCTTTCTATTGCTTCCAGGATCAAATATAAAATCTCCTGGTTGATGTTCAAAGTCTTTCATAACCTGCTCCACACACACCCCTTTCTGGTCTTCTCATATCTTATACTCCACACATACTCTGCAATCCAGTAACACTAGCCTCCTTGCTGTTTAGTCATTCAGCCCTGTTCAACTCTTCATGACCCTGTGGACCACACTGTCCATGGAGTTTTCTTGGCAAAGATACTGAAGTGGTTTGCCATTTCCTTCACCAGGGGATTAAGGCAGGCAGAGATTAAATGACTTGCCCAGGGCCACACAGCTAGATCTGAGACCAGATTTAAACTCAGGTCTTCCTGACTCCAGGCTCAGTACTCTATCCACCGAGCCACCTACCTGCCTGCTAAGCAATCAAGGGTTAAGTGGCTTGCCCAAGGTCACAAAGCTAGTAAGTGTCTTAGGCCAGATTTGAACTCAGGTCTTCCTTACTCCAAGATAAGCCCTCTATCCACTGTACCATCTAGCTGCCTCCTTACTGTTCCCCAAACAAGACACTCCATCTTCTGACTCTAGGCATTTTGATTGGCTGTCCTCCATGCCTAGAATTCTCCTCTTCACCTCTGCCTCCTGGCTTCCTTCAAGTCTCATCAAAAATCCCAAAGGCAAGAAGCCTTTCACGATCCCTCTTGATTCTGATGCCTTCCTACTATTGATTATCTCCACTTTGTCCTGTTTATACTTAATTGTTTGCTTGTTGTCTCTCCCATTAGACTCTGAGTTTCTAGACAGCAGGAACTGTGTTGCAGGGGGAGGTGTTGCTTTTCTTTGTATCCCCCAATGATTAGTACAGTACTTGGCACTCTTAATAAAAGTTTATTTACTGACTGACATTAGAGATAAGTCTATGAAGGGCTTCCATTGCTTCTCCTTCAATTCAATTCAATTGAACAAACATTATTAATATTGCATTAATAAATATTATTGAAATAATTATTAATGTTATTTGTCATTTATATAGATATATAATTATATAATCTTATTTATTAATGAATATTATTAAGTTTTTACTACATGCAAGGCACTGTGCTAGATATAAAGGTCAATTTTTGAAAAAGCTAAGAGAAGAATGCTTTGTTGATTTTTTTATTCTACTCCCCCTACTTTAGACCAGGAGACACTACTTCAAAGTACGCTTCCTATTCTTTTCTAATCCTCTTATAACCTTCTCCTCTCCATTTGGGTTATTCTTTCTTTTCTCATTCCCTTTCTCCATTCCTAAGTGGAAGCTATGTTGGTTGATGAGATCAAGGTTGACATAGAAGAATGGTTTCTAGTTCCTTCTCTCTCCTTCCTAAAATTAGAAAAGGAAACTAGTAGATCCTTCATCATCCTTTACAACCCAACTATATGGAATATTCAGAACAATCTAGAACTACAAAGGAATTTAACAAAGATCAATATAAAATTGGCATGTCTATAATAGTTTGAAAGGTCATTGTCACCCTTCCTTACAAATACCTGAATACTATCTTCTCTAAATTATTTAAAAGATCAACCATATTGGACAATGGTCATTCTTACCGAAGATTTACCACCATCTTTTGCCAATGGTAAACCCTAGGCTGGAAAAATTATTACATTGTAGGAAAACTGTACTGGAAGAGGGATGGAGGATGATCATAAGAGATCATCTATGACTGCACGAAGAGGACCAAAGGACGAATGGATGGCTAGATATGTGTGTGTATGTGTGTATTTGTATACACACATACACACACACACACACACACACACACACACGAGAACTTAACCACCTTTTAAGACAATGTTTCTATGGGAAAATATCTTCATATTTCTAATATAGTAGTATGCCAACAGTGTATGCTCCCCCCATGATAGCCTTGACAACCAAAGCCTTGATACCCTTTGCCCCCAGTTATCTCTTAATTGCCAAATCTAAAGTCCTTTTTTTCAAAACTCATCTTTCTTAACCTCCTCAAAGCCTTTGAAACTATTGATCGACTACTTCTCCAAGATACTGTTATCTTTCTAGAGTTTCATGACACCTCTCTCCTGATTCTCCTCCTATCTGTCTGATTATTCCTTCTCATTCTACTTTCCAAGTTCATCATCCAGGGCATGCCCACCACCCATGGGTGTTCCCTAAGGCTCTGTTCTGTGATCTCTTTTCTTCTCCCTCTGTATGATCTCACTTGGTAATTTCATTAGCTCCCATCAACATCTCTTTGCAGATGATTCCCAGATATCCAGATATCCAGCCCTAACCTCTCTACTGAGCTCCAGCCTTGCATCACCAACTGCTACTTACTGATCATCTTCCTGGTCACAAAGACTTACAACCTGACCACCATCCTTATGCCCTGACCCTTACTCGCCCCACATGTCCAATCCATTTCTAGGTTTTCTTATTTCTACCTTCACAATAATCTTTGATATACTTATTATCTGTGCACACAATTAATGGGGGCCACATATTAAAGATTATGAAAGGGGAGGATAATAAAAAGAGAGGTATGAGGAGCAGAACACAACATAATGAGTTCTAAGGAACAGTTTTTAGGAAGTTCTAAGTTCTACAGGAGCCTAGATGAATAGTAAGAAAAGTTGGCGGGTATCCTCAAGTCAGGGATGTGGGATGAGGATCAAGTAGGATAGTTTAGAGAGGTTGTGGGATTAGGTTTTCCCTCTCCTCCTTCCTCCTTCATTTCACCCCTTTACACCTCTCTCTCTGTTTCTGGTTCCCCTTCACAATTTGGCAGTCTGACACTAGAGCCTCTACCATCAATCAGATTAAGAAGAAACACTGGGGAGTAGAAGAGGAGCCAGAATCATGAAAACAGCACTAGGGCTCCAAGTAATAGCAAGATGAGAAAGGAAGAAAGAGGAGAGGAAAATCTCTAACAAGAGGACAGAAGGGAAATTCCTGCGGCCACCAAGATAGGGCAGCTCTGTGTGTGTGTGTGTGTGTGTGTGTATACACACATATAAATACATATACATATCTGAGATATAGATAGATAGATATAGATATAGATAGATATACTGTGACAAGTCAACAGTAAAGAGCAAAGATTAACTGATGTTCCCAATAGGAAAGAACAGTAAGCACACATTAATTAGGGTTTTTGTTCTGCTTCTATTGCTAAGGATAATTAGTAACATGGTCTGTTTTTATTAAATATATCAGAATCCCAAGTAAGTAAATTATGTTTACACTCTGCAAAATTGCTTGAATTTTATAATTTTATATTTCACAGAAGGAATCCACGCTCACTCAACACTTTCCCGCACTGACACCTATAAGCAAGTCATACAACCTGCCTTAAGCTAACAAATGGTTATCCTTCACAAAAGAATTAGGATCTTCAATAATTTATTAATTTTTATCCTGCTGCAGATAAATGACACTGAGTTTTTCATTTTAATGCAGACATAACATAGAAATGTTTCTCTTGACCTACTTTAAACTATGTCTGTCACTTTCATGAACAATAAGTTTGACAAACACTGAAAATCATATTTAAGAATGCTATTGAAATACTCATTACTTTTTTAAATTTCATAACACAAATTAAAATGTTGATTATTTGTGAAGTTTTATTTAGGAATAGTATATTTTCCAAATAATTTCAATAATGAAATGCATTCTTCCCCCAATCTTTCAAATACTACACATTTACATATATTCCTTTAGCAATAAAAGTTATATATACATGATGTGAGAAGAGAGCGTTCTCCCTAGGAATACTAAATAGATGTTACATTTTTTTTCTGTGTGCTGTTTCCCTAATAATGTGATAAACCCAAAGATGTTATTTCTTGCACATAGGAAAAATAGAAACGGAAAGTTCAGTTACTGAACAGAATTCTGGAAAAGGCTAAACCTCCATCTCTGCTTCAGATTCTATGCTGACTAGACTTCCCTTCTAGTCCATATTTTCATAAGTAAAATGATGAAACTTTCCACAGGGTTCCCAAAAGTCCTATTTAGATTTTAGAAGAGTTTGGTACTTTAAACATGCTAGTTAACCATGGCTTATTCCAAATCCTCAAAGAAGCCTTTACCTTAGTCGAAGTTCAACTTTGTCATTTTCATGAAAACTGGGGTAATTCTCTGGACTTCCAAGTCCAGTGAAGCACCTAGGACTGAGAGGCTACTTTTAAAAGTTCCTTCTCTTGACTAAGCAGGTGAGAATAAAGTACAAAAGGAAAGGGATAAAGCCAAAATATAAAGGGACTAAGTGGGTTCAATAACTCATCCAATCTTTTTTAACTAGACATTACCTTTAGCATAGCCACTCATGAATTCCAGTGAGTGAGATCTTTGCTATTGCAACATTTCTCTTCCTCACCATATCAGCCTGGGGATAAGTGAATGTTTAGGTAAACGATGGTGCAAGAGAAATAGGATTTTGTGTCAAGGTTCAGATTCCCTTCTCATTTTACAGCAAAAATTCCTAAGAATTTTACCACAAGAAACAGGCAATGGGTACATAATGCCCATTCCTGCTATTATTAGATATTGCCTCATGTCCAAAACAAGAAGAAAATTGTTTAGAAGCTTTAAAAATCAGTATAATATAAAATAAAGATCACTTTTGAAATATGAACTAGTATCTTCATTTTTTTAAATGTCAAAGTGGAACTGATATTAATTAGGATTTTTAAAAAATTTAAATGTGGTAGGATTACCTCTGAATTAACAACTTCCATTGATCTCTTCTTCGGTTCTCCTATGTCCAGGTAGCTGAAAAATAAATAAAGATCACTTTCATAGCATTTGAGTGAGATAATCAGTATATGTTAACAATTAATGAAAATACAACAAACTATAAGAGTATTTTCACATCTATATTTGTTAATCAAAGAACTGTTTAAAATAGAAATAACAAACCATATCCAAAAATTTGCATTTAAAAAAAGAAACTAATGGCAAGAACTGCTTTCTATATCACTGACCAGAACTGGATAATTTCTTCTCTAAGTCGCAAGAGGTTGGAAACCTCAGAAATAGGTACTTTTATTGCAGAACTTAGTGAACGTTATTTGCATAACCATTAACTACTCGATTTATTTAGTAGATTCCTGCTTCCTACATGAATTCTGATATGAAAGATGATTTATACAGACTGATATTATATGTCTTTGTCAATGACAGAAGAAAAGGAAATGGGGATTACATTGCACCAGGAGGCATTTAGGTAAAATAAAGTGAAGGACTATACTGATTGTGTACGTCAGAATAACATACCAAGGGAGGACAGGAAAATTTTTTTATATCTCTAGAGTGCTTTAAGATTAGGTTAAATGCCAATCCATCTGGGATGGTTCGGGTATACTCAGAGACAGAACAATGGATTGATTAGGTGACCTCTGAAGGTCCCTGTTTTTTCATTACAATGATGGTATGCTGAATTTATCTTTTTAAATCTGTTACTATCATTTCAAATGGTTCCTAGCACAGTATGCACATAAGAGATGCTCAATAAATAATTGTTGCAATAAATTCACCCAATACTGAATTTCTACATATTACTTTCTTTATATTATTTAACTTTCTATCATGCTGCTCTTTCTTAAGGCATAAATCTTTCAATTATATAAAGCACATAAAATAGAACAAACATTTCCTTTTCTGCCTACTATTTATTTAAAAACATTTAAACAAATAAAATTAATGTCCCTTAAGGCAAAATGTACATGTATGAAAATAAGCAACCTTCTCTTTCACACATATATTTAGACTGTGTAAGCAGTATGCCATCTCTCACACCTGAGAGGTTGTTCTGTATTCCTAAACTTCAGGAACATTTCACGCTATGGCCCAATTTTTCCCTATTCTTCACCCAGCCTGGAACTTTTCCAACAGAAAAGATACAGTGAACTAACTTCAGATCTACAGAATCAGTAAGTATAGTGACATAAAGAGAGACTATTTTGACTGTTAAAAATAACAATCTCTTATAAAATATAATTTCTCAATATTCTTTAATAATAACTGACATTAATATAGTACCTTAAAGTTCACCAAGCCTTTAATATATATTATTTCCTTTCAATCTCACAACAACCCTGAGACAGATAATAATAATTCCCATTTACAGATGAGGAAACTGAAACTTATACAGGTTAAGCAACTTGTCCAAGTGAAAAAGTTTATAGATGCCTTTGGCAGAATTTGAACCCAGGTCTTCAGGATGCCACATATAGCTCTCTATCCATCATGCCATGTTGTCTTACTGCATCCATGATAAATAGATTCATAGAGTTTTGTTTGGGTCCCAAAAGCAAAAGTTCTAGGAATCTATTTGTTAGCAAAACCAAAAAAATTGGGTATAAGACATTCAGGGATGAAAGTTGCTTACTTTCATTTAAAAAATATATGAAAAAAATATATATGAGCATTGATCTTTTCCTCCATTATCTCTCCACTCCCATTCCTCCCCTATAAAGGAAAAAAAAAAAGACTGGCCCTGAATGAATGATAACACATAAATTACAACTTGGAACTTCTCTGAGTTTCCTTCTGCTAATTTGTATTTCATTACACAAACCCACAAGTTCAAATTTTTAAAAGTTGACATTTAATTCCATTAGGATTCCATTAACATAACAGAAATTCATATTTCTAGAATAAATGAAAATAAATTATCAGTCAGACCAAGAAAAATTCATATATTCAGCAATCAGCATTAGCTGTAAATTGAAAGCAGAAATAGATGTTCTAATCTCCCAATACTTGTAACATTTGATTTCACAAATATAATAATAATAACTAACATTGTTTTATCACTGTAAGTTTTACAAAGTGATACAGATATATCTAGACATAAGCTTACTTGATCCTCACAGCAACCTTAGAATGTGGGTGCTACTATCTTCCCCATTTTGATGATGAGGAAACTGAGACTGAGAGAAGCTAAGTTACTTGTCCAGTCAGTAAGTACCAGAGGAAGGATTTGAACTCAGTCCTTCTTGACTACAAATGTATCACTCTATCAATTGCACCACCTAGCTGCCTGACATTAAACTTCTTGCAAAGCATACTTTGCATCTACTGTGATGTGTGCAGTAACTATTTGGACTAGAGCAGTGTTTGTTTTTATCTTTTGATTTGAAGATTCCAAGTAACCAAAAGAGATCAATTAAAGAATTCCTAGTGATTGTTCCTTTTTCTGCATCTGTATCCCCAGTACCTGGAGCACAGTGCCTGGTATATAGTATACAATTGATTGATAGATTGATAGATTTCCAGACACGAAACCAGAATATTATCCCCACTGAAAATGTGTTCAACATAAAAATTATCATGTAATGAAAAGAGTGATGAATTCAAAGTCATGTAGTCTGCTTTCATATGCAAGCTCTGCCACTTACAAAATATGGGTGGGTTACATGGGTGAAATCACTCAACATATGTAAAATGAAGGATTTGGTCAAGATGACTTCTAAGGTTTCTTCTAGTTTCTGAATCTCTATTATCCTCTTACTGTAACACAAACATCACATATCCAGTGTTGGGTATGTTACCAAGCACAGAAAAGAATCATACACTGGAATCTTATAGTTTTACTACTAAAGTGGAAAAAGTGTGTCATAGTGGAATGAAAACTGTACTAGGAGATCAGAAGAAGTGAATTGGAGATCCATCTCTACTACAAGCTGTGTAACAGGGGAAATCAATTTCCTTCATATCTTTATCTTGATCTGTGATTTAGATGATCTTAAAAGTCCTCTCTAGTTCTAACTCTATGATACTGTAATGACATCTAAAAACTGGTGACATAAGGCCTACACCTGAAGGGATACATGACTAAAAATTCCTGCAAGAAGGATAATTTTGATTAGTTTGTTTCAAGATGGGCGAAATGAATTTATCCCTTACCTTCCACAAAAGTAAGCCCCAGGACTGACTATTTCTTTTATTTGAATTCAGATAAATTCAATAGTAGAGGAGGGAAAAACTTGGACATCTTCATTAGAATATGAAGAGAAAGGCTTATTCTTTTAAAATTATTTATATTTCAACATTATGGAGATAACACTACATTTTGAGCCAGAAGCAGTGTGATATAGCAGAAAGGGTACTGGCTACAGAGTCAGAAGACCTGGATTCAAATCCTGCCTCTGACACTTAGGACCTACATGACCCTGGCAAAGTCACTTAACGTCCTGGGACCTCTACTCCCTCATCTACTAAAAAAAAAAAGAGTGGGTTAGTCTAGAACTTCCAGCTCTATATCTACGATCCCATGCCCTTGGCTCAAATTTGACTTAACCACTTAGTAATCAATCAAATAAATGACTTTGGGTTAGCCACAACTTCACTAATCCTCAATCTTTTCATCTGCAAAATGGGACACTCCTGGTGGCTGTTACAAAATTCAATTGTAATAATGTATATTTGACCACATTTAATCCTCAAATGAGATAACATTTAATAGTGTATGTAAAGTATTTTGTAACTGTAACAAGTTACAGAAATGTTCGGTATTATTATCTCTCAATGAAATGTGAGGAGAGATGGTTCTCTTCTGCTGTGTTGGAATCAAAGTGTAGCTATTATTAAAACATTTTGAGCAAAATGAACATTAATAAAAGAAAAGAGTGAAATACAGAGAGAATAATATTCTTCCTTCTTTCTTAATAAAGTCACTAGTGCTTGCTTACATTACCTCCCCCACATAGTGGTATGATGTTTTAAAGTCTTCTCTTGAACAAAAAGAAATCTTAAAATGTTTTTTTTAAATGAAACAAGTAATAAATAAAAGCAGATACAGTCCAAAATGTTAGAGTATCAAATCAGACATTCAGTTTACTAGGATGACTATAACTGCTGTTATCATTCCAAAGTATCATTCCAAAGAGTTTTCTTTTACTTTATGCCCAAACTTGAAGCTCATTTATAATGCTGATACACTTCCCTTGTGAATTCCTCTCTCCATTAACTCTTTCCATTTTAACCCTATTAACTTTACCATGACCATTAAACACACAGGTCAATTAGTGTATGGAAATTTCCTCTGCCCACTCAAACAACTGCAGGAATTATGCAAAGCCCAGTTTGGCATTTCCTAAACCAACAATCTCAATTAAAAATATAAGTAGTCCAGGGCAAATATGACTCACTTGAGTTTCTTGAAGGCTTCCAGGCCCCCTGCCACGTAGTTCCCCCCACTCTGAATCTGGTCTAGCTTCCGGATTCGGTGGCCTGCCCGAGGGGTATAGATGTTTCGGACAGCTCCAAAGGGGGCCTGAACCCCACCTGTCACCTCCTTCAGAAAGACATCAAAACTGGACACCTTTTTCTCATGGATGACCACTCTGCGTCCAGCAAAGAAGGGGTCCCCATTGCGATACACCAGCACGCTCTTCACTACTGGCTGGGTCAGGCAGTTGGATCTTGTACTGGTGCTGCTCATCTTCTGTCACAGGACCACCTTCCTACTTCTTTCCTCTTGTGCTGGCTGGCTTCTTAGTACTTCTCAGGCACAGTTTACAGCTATATTTCTATAACAACGAGTTCTTCCGAAGCCTCTCTATGACAAACACACACATACACCGAATCAACTACTGGGGGGATAAACAGATTTAAAACTAACAGATGTCTGTCTTGTAGACATAACGTTTAAACTGACTACACAGATTACAGGATTTAATGAAAGTGTTTTAACTATGTCAACCATAATCTATACCAATCACCACATATATGTCCTCTCTCGATAGACAGACATGTACACACATTTATTCAACCTTATAAAAGCACATATATATATATGCTGTTATATGAGCTATGAAGCTATTGTACCATATTAAATACGTATGCCAAATATATTTTGTACCTTCATAAATATATATATATATATATACACATATATATATGCCAAGCAAGAAATGTATATTGTGCATGTGACCAAAAAAAGGCTACATGCTAAGACATGCAAGATGGTATGTTTTATAAAGGGGAGATGAGTAAGAGAGAGGAAGCAGCAAGAAATACTATAATCACCAAAGTTTTAATAGTCAATTTCTTTACTCCTTCCATACAGTTTTATTCTCTCCTTGCTCCCTCCCTCCTGCCAACTCCAAAAAGTTTAAGGCAATAAAGGTCGTCACCCCTGCAACCCCAAGGATTCCTGGCTTCCTCCCTCCTACCAACTCTAAAAAGTTTAAGACGACTGCAACTTCCAGGACTCCTCTTCCTCTCTCCAGCACAGTGCAAGGAGGCACAAGGCGCATCCCCAGGCAGAAGAAAGGGAAGAGAAGATGAGAAATTACCAAGGGCTCCCTTTTCCCCCTCCCACTCCTGACCTGCAGCAATCCTCGGACCCCTGAACTCCCTGCTCCCAAGCACACGCAGCAGAAACAGGTGCATCATTTGAATATGCAAGCATCAGGGCACATCGGCTCCCAGGGTTGGTAGAGGTGATGTGGGGGGACTTAAGGAGAACCCCAAGTAGAAAGGACTACATACCGACACTAGCCTGGCCCAGGAGGCTGAAACCAGGTGCAGCTGGGTCTTCGGCTTAACCAGGCAAGCGGGCCTTGCCCTGGTGCTCCCCGCCACGCGGCGGCGGCGGTAGTGGCTGGAGAGGCTGCTGCTGCAGGTGGCTGTTCCCCGGGAATCAGGCGCTCGCGGGGTCGCGAGCGGGCTCCCTCCCAAGCTCGGGCGGCTGCTGGGCTGGAGGCTGGCGGGCGGGCGGCTCGCGCTGCTGCTACGTTTGCGTTTGTGCTAGCGCGGCGGGCCGGCGGCGGACTTTGCTGCTGCTGTTCTACTGCAGTTACGACTACTACAGCACGAGGGCTGCCTACACCCACGGGGGAACGGAGTTGTTATTTTCCGCCGTTTCCATAGCAACCGCAGCCATGCGCAGGGAGCAGAGTCCCCAAACTAGACCCGGTGGCGTGCTTGCGCCCCCAGGGAGGGTGACGGAGACGCGTCCCTGGTTCGTACACTTGTCCCGGGTCTATCAGAGAGACAAGTGTTCTGGAGGAGCAAAGCATCCAGCACCTGGAAGTTTTCGTGTGGCATCAGTCAGTCCACAAGCATGCGTTGAGGCCTCACCGTCAATCACTGTTAGTAATAAGGAGAATATAGAAGAGGAACAGGAGGCAGGATCATCAAAGGATTGAGTGGGAACCAATTTTAGAGATCATCTAATCAAGAGATGCAGAATGAGACTCATTTTTGGACATGACCGAAGAGGAAATTGGTTTTCATATTTATTGCAAGTTTTTTGGATTTAGGCCTTTTTTCTCCATTTGGGGCGAGAGAAGTGTGAAAGAGAGAAAGTAAATGTTTGCTGATTAAAATTTAAAAAACAAAAACTTACCAAAAGTCCCACAGATGTGTGGAGAGCCACACCAGCCCCCTCATACACTCGGTTTACATTGTACCTGGGTGTCTGCTTTCCTGTGTAATTAGTAGGTTTTATGGAGGTACCAAGGGCAGCCACACATTTTCTTGGGAGAGGTTGGTTGCAAGAAAGAAGCTATTTTCTATAGTATGTAGCTCTCTATGTAAAAAACATATATAAATATAAAAACAGAGAAGCCACTCCAGCCATATTTCTGCCATGGGATCCTGAAATGTAAACGACTGACATGTATTCTTCAGAGGCTTTGTCATGTAGTAATCCGAATGTATAAAATTACTGTATGGCATTTCAAAACTCAGCAGTCTTGAAAGTTGTTGTTTTTAGTTGGTAAAAGGGAGCAGTTTGTGAGTTGGTGGTAGGGAAAGAGACTGGCTGACTGAATTAATGTGAAAGGTTAGTGGAAGAGAGCAAGCAGGTAAATAGAGTACTTAACTTAAAGTGAGGAGACCTGGATTTGAATCATGTCTCAAATGGTCTGCTTCAGCTAAGTGATCAGAGGCAAGTCAATAATGATGATGATGATGATGGTGGTTATATAGTTTTCAAAGTGCTTCACAACTATTATTTTATACTCACAACAACCTTGGAAGGTGGGGGCTATTATTATCCCCATTTTAAAATTTAGGAAACTGGGGCTGATAGGAGTTAAGTGACTTGCCCAGGGTCACACAGACAATAAGTGTCTAAGGCTGGATTTGAACTCAGGTTTTCCTGACTCACGTATAGTACTCTACCTACTGCCTAGGCACTCTTAAGAGCTGCTGTTTCCTCATCTATAAAATGGGGATGATAATAATACTTGTAATCGCTACTGCTTAAGGTTGTGTACTTTGCAAATCTTAAAGCATTATACAAATAGGAATTATTATTTTAAGTTTGGTACAATAGTATAAGGGACAAGCATGGTATAGTGGATGTGGAGCTAGTCTGGGAGCCACAAGGATCTGAGTTCAAGTCCTGTCTCTGACATATGCAATCTGTATGAGCTCCTTGAAGACAGGGACTGTCTTTTGCTTCATTTTGCATCTTTAGTGCTTAGCAGAATGCCTGGTACTGTAGTAAGTGCTAAAAAAAAAAAAGTTTATTGACTGAATGACTGACCCTGGCCAAGTCACAGTCTCACCCCTACCCCCTGCAACTCTGTTAGGTTTCAGAGCCCCTGCTGATCTATATTGATATAGGTATTTATTTCATCAGAGAGTTCTTTATGTCATTGAAAGCTATGGGATATAGTGCAAAGAATACTGGCTTGGAAGTCAGGGGACCTCAGTTCACATCTCACTTCTGAGACCCCATTTTTTTCCTTTGGTGAGGCAATTGGGGTTAAGTGACTTGCCCAGAGTCACACCAGTAGTGAGTGCTATGTGTCTGAGGTCGCATTTGAACTCAGGTCCTCCTGACTCCAGGGCCAGTGCTCTACCCGATGCACCACCTAGCTGCCCCCACTTCTCACTTCTGAAACTTACTACCTGTTTGGCCTTGGGCATCTCGTGAGGCCTTGGTTTCAACTGTAAAATTAAACAGTTGGCCTGAATGGCCTCTGAAGTCCCGTTTAGCTCAGTACGTATGATCTTCTGAAAGCATAGTTCCAGTGTCCTCTTCCTCCTCTTCCCCCCACCCACCCAAAAAGAGTATCAAATATAGATTTGAAAGACGCTGGGTAGTAAATGAAGCTCCGTGTGAAGTCAGTTTTGTCATTTAGGGGCAAACAAATGCAACGCCACCTTCAGACCAGCCTCCAGAATGGCTTGCAGACTAGGTCCACTAACCTCCAATATTCTTGGAGAAGGAAGAAAAGCGTGATTATAGATGCAATTTTTAGCTGATGTCCACAAATCCAAGCTCTTACTTCCAGGCCTCACCTTAATAATGTTCAACAACAATGTGAAGAATAGCACAAAAGTGTTATCCAACTTCAAAACATATGGAAACTGCTCCATTAGAAAAGTAATCAAATTAATAAAATATGTAAATATTTAGGGCAGCTAGGTGGCACAGTAGATAGAGTGCCAGGCCTGGAATCTGGAACAACTGGGTTCAAATCCAGCCCCAGATGGTTACCAGCTGTGTGACCCTGGGCAAGTCACTTTACCCTGTTTGCCTCAGTTTCCTCATCTGTCAAATGAGCTGGAGAAGGAAAAGGCAATACCTCAGTATCTTTGCCAAGAAAACCCCAAATGAGGTCATGAAGAGTCAGACATGACTGAAACAACTGAACAACAATGAATTTTGATGGGCAGCAAGATTATAATTAATTGCATATCTCTAGAAAGAAAATATATAACCACCTTCTTCACACCTACATGCATTTGAAAAAGATATTAATTCCTTCATCAAGTATTCCATTCCAAGTGTCCATTCCATGCAATTCAATATGCCTGGTGCTGGAAAAGATTCAAAATAAGACAAGGTCCCTGAACTCAAGGATTGTATAATTATACCTCTGTCTTCTCTTTACAGAAATTTAAGATACAAGTAAAATCCCACACCAATCGTATTCTCATGTGTGTTATTAGCACCTTTACACATTTTTTTTCTATTTGAAGCCCTAAAATACCAACAAGTTCAACTCCTTGGGAAACACTTCTCATTAGGTCTCTACCAGTTGAATGAGGATAGTGGTTAATGAAGAAAGCCCCTGGACTCGTCTGCACAGGCTAGTTCAGTTGATTCAGATAACAACTGATTGGCTTTCCATAGAGAAAAATTTTCTCAAAGCCATACAATACATCTGTAACCTTAATGAGCACTCTTGAAAATACATGCCACTGGTCTCAAGAGGAATCAAAGGAGACAGTCTGGATGACTCAGCAAAATCCACCACTAAAAAAACTCAAGCCATAATAGCATGGTCAATAGACAACTGTAGGAAGACCACTTATTATTATTATTATTACTATTATTAGTCTAAAGAGTGGGAAGAAAAATATTTCTGATGAAGCATATGAGTGTTAGTCCACAACAGTATAGATCTAAATGGGAAATAGCTTATAATCTGTTTTTTACCTCAACTTGGAATTAGGTAGTTCTTCTCTTTTTAATTTTCCTTGTTTTATGAGGATGTATATTTGTAAATCAGTAGAAAGCTTTGGAATTAAGTCTTACAAAAGGTGTAATTGTTACTATATTTCTTCAGATTATTAGTTTCCATTTAGATTATAAGATCCCCAGTTGAGGATGGCTTTTTCTCACAATAGAACTTCTTAGTAACTAGGACAGTGACAAACACACAAGAGATGCCTAATGATTTTTTGATGCTGCTATTACCTGCCAAAAAGTATAATCCCCATGTATGACAGTAACTTATTTTAAAAAGTTGAACAAATACATCACTACTACAAATCCCTACCACCACTATCCCATTGCATAGTCTCCCAAGTACAAATGAAAATGTGATGTTCAAATTAATTGTCACCATAGACCTTTCTGGTATAGTTATAAGACTTCAAGGTACCGTCTGAGTACAGAAAGAGGTGGTCTGCTGCAAGAGAGGATTAAAGGAACTAGGTGGTACAGTAGATAGAGAGTGCTAATCGTGAAGTCAGGAAGTTGATGTTCAGTCATGTCCAACTCTTAGTGACCCCATTTAGGGTTTTCTTTTTTTTCTTTTTGCTTTTTTTGCTTTTTTTTTTTTTGGTGAGGTGATCAGGGTTAAGTGACTTACACAAGGTCTCACAGCTAGTAAGTGTTAAGTGTCTGAGGTTGGATTTGAATTCAGGTCCTCCTGACTCCAAGGCCAGAGTTCTATTCCCTGGACCACCTAGCTGCTCCCATTTAGGGTTTTCTTAACAAACATATTGGAGTGGTCTGCCATTTCCTTCTCCAGCTCATTTTACAGATGAGGAAATTGAAGTAAGCAGGGTGAAATGATTAGCCCAGGACCTCACAGCTAATATCTGAGCTGGATTTGAACTCGAGTCTTCCTAACTCCAGGCCACTCCAGCCACTGTGCCACCTACCTGCCTCCAGAGACAGGAAGACCTGTGTTCAAATCCAGCCTCAGACACTTAAACCTCTGCCTCAATTCCTTCATCTGTAAAATGAAAATAATACCTACTTCTCAGGGTTGATGGGAGGATTAAGTGAGACAATGATTGTGAAGTGCCTGGCACATAGTAAATGTTATATAAATGTTAGCTATTATTATTATTATTAAGAAGTACCATTCAGAAGCAACATGGCCATTGTACTTACATTCCCTTGAATTTGACCATCTGACTGTTATCGTAAGATCAGGCAAGTCAACAAAGATGTATTAGGCACCTAGTGGGCAGCCAAGATTTTGTTAGAATACAAGATCCTAAAGGGTAAGGACTGTTTTTACTTT